CCAGTACCCTACAGAGTACTTCTTTGTCTTCTCCTTACAGGTCTTGATGACATCATCCATCATAAGAATGAAGAGGTAAGGTGATAGAATATCACCTTGTCTAACACCGCTGGTGGTCTTAAATTCTTCTGACTTTTGGTCTGCTGTTCTTACATAATTTCTGCACTTTTTGTAGAAACTCTGTATTGCACTGATCAGGGGTGCTGGGATGTTTTTCCCTGCCAAGCAGTCCCAGAGCTTGTTCCAGGGTACCTTGTCAAATGCCTTTTCCGGATCCAAAAAACATAAATGCATCTCACTCTTATATTCCAGGGCTTTTTCACTCATCTGTCTCAGTGTGAAGATAAGGTCTTGAGTACTTCAGTTTGCTCTGAAGCCGCATTGGGCCTCGTCCAGCTGTGGCTCTACCAGACTTCTAAGTCTCTGCTCAAGAATTCTAGAGTAACTTTTACCAGGAACGCTGAGGAGGGATATGCCTCTGTGGTTTTCACATTGTCTGTTATCACCTTGTTTAAATATAGGTATAATGATGGCAATCTCCCAATCTTTTGGTATAGTTTTGCTACACCAGGCTGCCTGGAGAACCTTCAGTAGAAGGCGCTCACCTTCGACTCCCATATATTTGACCATCTCTGGTGTTAAACCATCATGACCTGCTGCTTTTCCCAGCTTAATCTTCTCAATAGCTGCCTTCAATTCTTCCATCCTGATGTTATCTTCCCCATGATTGAATTCCTTCTCAGCAGTGAGGTCCATTATTTCTGGGTCATGACTTCCCTCAACGCTGAGGAGCTCTGAGAAGTATTCTTTCCATCTGCCCATGATATCATTTGTAGAAGTAAGCAGAGCCCCTTCCTTGTCTTTTATGAATTTAAGTGGGCACTCTTTCTCCTTCCTCATGTTCTTAAGGGTCTTGTAGAACAGTTTTTGGTTTTCTCTTGCATTCTTTTCCAGCTTTTCTCCAAACTCTTCCCATGATTTCTGTTTTGCTTTAAGCACAATATTTTTGGTCTCTGTTCTGAGTGCCACATATTGTGTATATTTTCCTATTTCTTCAGCTGTGTTCCTGGCTGCCAGGTATTGCTTCCATGCCTTTTTCTTTTCTCCTATTTTCAATTTGACTTCTTCTGTCCACCAAGGTGTCCTGTGTCCCCGCCTTCCACTTGGGACTTCACTACATGCTTCTACTGCAGCTGCTGTGAGGATATTCTTGAATCTGCACCAGAGGGTTTCAGTGTCCTCTGATGATTCTTCTTCAGTTCCTATTGCTTTCACTATAAGCTCCTGGTATCTAGCCTTAATATCTGGCTCTCTTAGCTTGTATGCTTTAATCCTCATCCCTTCTTGGTTGCTTGGTTTCTTGCATGGTTGTCGGTGTTGCCTTGTTGGAGCAGTTCTTTCAGTTGTTCTCTTTATTGTGACCAGATAGTGGTCACTTCCAATCTCTGGTCCTCTCATGACTCTGACATCTCTCACAAACTTGAATGAACTTTTCCTAACTATGGCGTAGTCAATGATGGATTTTTCATTCTTTGAAGGTTCACATCTTGTGTATGCATGTATACGCTTGTGGGGGAATTTTGTGTTTGTAATGACAAGGTTCTGTTCCCTGCAGAATCTGAGAAGTCGCTTGCCATTATCATTCAAAACATCTTCACCATATCTCCCGATCACTCCACCCCATCTAGAGTGATCATTTCCTACTCTGGCATTTAGATCTCCTAGGAGGATAATTTCATCGTGACAGTCATCTGTGGTCCTTTGGAGCAGTTCAAAGAATTTTTCTTTAACATCTACTCGCTCATCTTCATTTGGCCCGTACACAATGACAAAATTGACAATTTTATCTTCTTCTTTTAGATCTAACACCATTATTCGCTCTGAGATTAATTTCCATCCCTTGATGTTGCTAACTTGATTCCTGGCCACAATACAGCCAACACCTCCCTTGGCTCTCTCCGTCATAGGGACACCACTGTAGAGCAGCATACTTTCATCGTGATCTGTGATTCCTTGCCCCTTTTTCTTGGTTTCAGTCAGAGCCAAGACTCCTAGTTTTGCTTTCCTCATCTCCCCTACTAACTCGTTTTCCTTTCCGTTAATTCCTCTTATATTCCATGTTCCATAAATCGTAGTCCGTAAGCCATGCCAGTTCGTCGCCGTTAAGATCCGTCCGGTTTTCTCTCTGTAGTTACTTGTAATCGTGGTTTAAGGCAAACAGGTGATTGGCCTGTTGTGCCTTTGCATGGTGGAGGGGCTGCCTCCTTGCGGCCTCCGTGCAGGCCGTCTGGCTGATTCACGGTTACCCACTACTTCCGGAGACGCATGAAGCACTCAGGTTCAGCCAGACCCTCCTCTTTTTACAGCCGGGCTTGGGACCGGTCTTAGCGGAGTTAATTCTATAATAAACACACATTTACTGCCAGCAATCACATTGAATGATAACGTCCCATTTGTGTTTGTGTGTTGTTGTCAGCAGGTACCAGCACCATCAGGCTCCAGTAGTGAAACATTGATGTCCAAACAAGGTAGGTTAGCTGACCATGGGCAACTCCTGGCTTTCTGATGGGTCTCTGGGTGGGGGTGGGGGCAGAAAAGAGAACTGTGTATATGTGTATGCTTTCTGATGGGTCTCTGTGTGGGGGTGGGGGCAGAAAAGGACACTGTGTATATGTGTATGCTTTCTGATGGGTCTCTATGTGGGGGTGGGGGCAGAAAGGAGAACTGTGTATATGTGTATGCTGTCTGATGGGTCTCTATGTGGAAGTGGGGGCAGAAAGGAGAACTGTGTATATGTGTATGCTTTCCGATAGGTCTCTGTGTGGGGGTGGGGACAGAAAGGAGAACTGTGTATATGTGTATGCTTTCTGATGGGTCTCTGTGTGGGGGTGGGGGCAGAAAAGGACACTGTGTATATGTGTATGCTTTCTGATGGGTCTCTATGTGGGGGTGGGGGCAGAAAAGGACACTGTGTATATGTGTATGCTTTCTGATGGGTCTCTATGTGGGGGTGGGGGCAGAAAGGAGAACTGTGTATATGTGTATGCTTTCTGATGGGTCTCTATGTGGGGGTGGGGGCAGAAAGGAGAACTGTGTATATGTTTATGTTTGTGTGTTTGAGAGGAAGAGACAGACAGACACAGAGAAAGAGATGGGAGCTTCCATCAAAGTCGGAGTGCATCTGCCAGAGAGGCAAGGAACCAGCAGTCTGCATACAAAGGAGTCAGATCTGTAAAACGAATGCACACGGAAGACACTCGGGTTCTGGAACACGACTGAAGTCCAGAAGTGGATGAACAACCAGAGCTTTCCGCCAGAGTTTACAGCTGGTGAATGCGAAGAAGAAGAAGAAGATATAGACAGACAGACAGATAGAGGTGAGACAGGGAAAGACCGACATAAAAAAAGTACAATGTGGAGGCTGTGTGGCAGAGTAGTTTATAAAAAAAAATCATATGTGTAACAATTTAATTATAATTGCTGATATAGTGCAGTTCCTAACCTAGAGTACCAAGGTTAAACTTCTATGTTGTTTTTGTGGTTTTCGAATGACATTCTTCTCCTTCTTTTCTTTCTTTTCTTTACTCCTGGAATGCCTCGTGGTGTCAGGGCAAGAAGAGATCTCTGGAGCAGGCCCTTTTGTTCTCTTGGTGTAAAGTACTCCTCAGTGTCTCTGATATTTCTGTGGTCCATCTTCTGTGTGGTTGACCTCTGGCTCTGTTACCGCTGTATCTATGTAACATGCTCTCTGTGGTGCCCTGTTTGATGCCACTTTTGTTACCTGGCCAGACCATTTGATTTGTTGTCTACCTATATAGTTCAATATCGGTTCTTTGCCGACTTTTCCTGATATCGTCGTTCCTAAGTAGATCTTTCCTTGTTGCCCCTAGCATAGAACGTAAACATTTCTTCAGTAGTCGTGGCTTTAATTTGACTAGGATTCAGTTGCTAGGGGGGAAAACAAACCAATATATTTAGGCTGCAGTATGATGTTCCTAAATGTTACCTTCTATCCTTATATCTAACCATTCATCCATTTAGCCATCCTTCCATCCATACATCCATCCAACCATCCATGCATCTAACCAACCCAATATATTTCCAATATTTAAGTTTCAGGCCAGATCCTGTCTTTGCCAGCAAACCAGCAAAAACCCCAAGGCATGTCTTTGCCAGCAAACCAGCAAAAACCCCAAGGCATGTCTTTGCCAGCAAACCAGCAAAAACCCCAAGGCATGTCTTTGCCAGCAAACCAGCAGAAACCCCAGGGCATGTCTTTGCCAGAGAACCAGCAGAAACCCATAAGTGAGGTCAAGAAGGTCATGGTGGAGAATCAAAACGTGACTGTACCAGAAATCGTGAGAATGCAAACTAACATAGTTGCCTCTTCTATGAAGGTGAGCAAAGCAGTTGACTGGTTGTTTTGTGTGTGTGTGTGTGTGTGTGTGTGTGTGTGTGCACGCGTGTGCGTGCGTGCCTGCGTGTGTATGTGTATGTGTGTTCCAAGGTTGGATGCCTAGCTAAACCAATAAATGGATGGACAGATGAATGGATGGACGGTAGTGTACATTTAAGAGCATCATATTTGGGGTTTGCATTACCTAGATAAATAGATGGATGAATGGATGGATGGACAGATTGATGAAAGTGTTCATTCAAGAGCATCGTATTTGGGGTCTGAGTTGTCTAGATAAATAGATGGATGGATGGATTGATTAATGGATGGATGGGTGGATGGAAGTGTACATTCAAGAGCATCATATTTGCGGTCTGAATTATCTAGATAAATAGATAGAGAAATGAAAGGAAGTGATGGCTAGATGGATGGATGCGTGAAAGGATGGATGGATGGCTAAATGGATGAATGGTTAGATATAAGGATAGAACATCATACAGCAGTCTAAGTTGTTTAGATGAATGGATGTATTGAAGGAAGAAACTGAACATTCAGGAATATCATGTCAGCTGTCTCACTTGTCTTCTTCTTCCTTCCTGGACAGACAACTGATTTTGAGGTTCCCACCAAAGGATGTGACTTTCTGCCTTCTGGGCCAGACAGCTGTCAGAGCTTGTTCAGTGTTAACGTTCAGAGTAAGTTCATCAAAAGAGTAACCTGTGACATTGGAGTTCAGCAGATAACATACACTCACATGGTTGAACAACAAGAGATCAAAGGGTTCGGTCATGTGTCAAGACTACTACAAGATAGTGAGAAAAGTATCTATGAGGGGAAGAAAGGCCATGAATACCAACATCTATGAGGGAAGAAAGGCCATGAGTACCAGCATCTATGAGGGAAGAAAGGCCATGAATACAAGTATCTATGAGGGAAGAAAGGCCATGAATACCAGTATCTATGACAGAAGAGAGGCCATAAATACCAGCATCTATGACAGAAAAAAGGCCATGAATACCAGTATCTATGACAGAAGAAAGGCCATGAATACAAGTATCTATGAGGGAAGAAAGGCCATGAATACCAGTATCTATGACAGAACAAAGGCCATGAATACCAGCATCTATGACAGAAGAAAGGCCATGAATACCAGCATATATGAGGGAAGAAAGGCCATGAATACCAGCATCTATGACAGAAGAAAGGCCATGAATACCAGTATCTATGAGGGAAAAAAAGGCCATGAATACCAGCATCTATGAGGGAAGGAAGGCCATGAATACCAGTCTATATGAGGGAAGAAAGGCCATGAATACCAGCATCTATGAGGGAAGAAAGGCCATGAATACCAGTATCTATGAGGGTAGAAAGGCCATGAATACCAATATCTATGACAAAAGAAAGGCCATAAATACCAGCATCTATGACAGAAGAAAGGCCATGAATACCAGTATCTATGAAAGAATAAAGGCCATGAATACCAGTATCTATGAGGGAAGAAGGGCCATGAATACCAGTATCTATGAGGGAAGAAAGGCCATGAATACCAGTATCTATGAGGGAAGAAAGGCCATGAATACCAGCATCTATGACAGAAGAAAGGCAATGAATACTAGCATCTATGAGGGAAGAAAGGCCATGAATACCAGCATCTATGAGGGAAGAAGGGCCATGAATACCAGCATCTATGACAGAAGAAAGGCCATGAATACCAGTATCTATGAGGGAAGAAAGGCCATGAATACCAGCATCTATGAGGGAATAAAGGCCATGAATACCAGTATCTATGAGGGAAGAAAGGCCATAAATACTAGTATCTATGAGGGAAGAAAGGCCATAAATACCAGTATCTATGAGGGAAGAAAGGCCACGAATACCAGTATCTATGACAGAAGAAAGGCCATAAATACCAGCATCTATGACAGAAGAAAGGCCATGAATACCAGCATCTATGACAGAAGAAAGGCCATGAATACCAGTATCTATGACAGAAGAAAGGGCACAAATACCAGTATCTATGACAGAAGAAAGGCCATGAATACCAGTGGCACATTGGGCATTTGATTCTAGACTAATATTTCATTTTAGAGAACCAATCTACTGCCATTGGGTTATGTGGTCAACATCCCACTGACCACCTTTACTTCCATGAACACTGCCTAGTACCCATTTTAGGCAGCATGGACCTGGCAGCCAAGGCAGTTTTAGAAACCCATGTCCATCAGAGTGACAGGTGAGCTTCTAGCCACTAGGTAACGGTTATTTCACATATCTGTATTTACCACTTTGCTGTGGATGGGAGGCCTCTTTGAGCCTGATGATTAAGAGCTCCATGCTTGAACCTGATGGTTAAAGGCTCCATGTTTAAACCTGATGATTAAGAGCTGCATGTTTGAGCCTGATGATTAAGGGCTCCATGCTTGAACCTGATGATTAAGAGCTGCATGTTTGAGCCTGATGATTAAGAGCTGCATGTTTGAGCCTGATGATTAAGAGCTGCATGCTTGAACCTGATGATTAAGAGCTCCATGTTTGAACCTGATGATTAAAGGCTCCATGTTTAAACCTGATGATTAAGGGCTGCATGTTTGAACCTGGTGATTAGGGACACTATGTTTGAGCCTGATAATAAAGAGCTCTATGTTTGAGCCTGATAATTAAGATCTCTATGTTTGAGCCTGATAATTAAGAGCTCTATGTTTGAACCTGATGATTAAGAGCTCCATGTTTGAACCTGATGATTAAGGGCTCCATGCTTGAACCTGATGGTTAAAGGCTCCATGTTTGAACCTGATGATTAAGGGCTGCATGTTTAAACCTGATGATTAAGGACTCCATGTTTGATTAGTGCAGTCACAGGCAGGTTAGGATCCTTTTTGTGTGTGCCCTGGGTAGAAAACTTAAAACCCTACCCAAAATTTAATCCCTGGTCTCCCCCATGAGAACCTAATGTTCTTAACCGTTTGGCTAGCACCTTCTCATAAGGCATTTACCTGTTCCAAATTGTCTCTGCAGGTTTCAGCACCTTAGGTACAAGCGCACAGTCACCAAAGGGGAAGTACAGTAGATCTACAAGCAGAAGAAGCCCTTCATCTGAGAGCACCCAGGGCTTTTCCTTTGAGTCCCTGTTTGGCAACTTTGAGAAGAGACTGAACGAAGACACATATGAGAGCGACGAGGACACCGCACCCACATCCATATTTAGCCTGTTCAACATTTCGCAGAGCTCTGGCGGCGGGGCTAATGAAGATCCTAAAGAAACCGGATCATTCTTTACCTTCGGCAAGTTCACAGACAACACTGGATCCCCATCTCCCGAAGGACCAGTCAATCTGTTGAACCTCTTTACTAAAAGCCAGACCTCGGATGGGTCCAACCATGATTTTGCAGTTAACTTTCAAGAGGAAGAGAAAGAGAATGAGACGACCACATTTAAACTTGGGGTTTCTATTGATGAGAGGAGTCAGAGTGATGGAGAACCAGAGAAGCCACTGTTTAATTTGTTTTAATTAATTTGTTAGTGTTGTTTTGTTATAGCGGAGAATGAGAAGTACACCTTGTGGGTTCCAGGGCCATGTTATTAGGGAAAACAAGAATAGACCCACTGCCTACCCAAAAGCACGTCGTAAGAGTCAACTAATTAGGAGCTTCCTTCGAAGTCGAAGTGCATCTACCTGAGAGGCAAGGAACCAGCAGTCTGCATACAAATGAGTCAGATCTGTAAATTCGATGCACACGCAACCCTCAGCTTATGGAACAGGACTGCAGTTCGGAAGTGGATGAACAACCAGAACTTTTCGCCAGAGTTTACAGCTGGTGAATGCGGAGAAGAAGAAGAGAGTGTTCTGGAGCATTTTGGGGTGCTTCTGCTTCTTCTTCTTCTTCTTCTTCTTCTTCTTCTTCTTCTTCTTCTTCTTCTTCTTCTTCTTCTTCTTCTTCTTTTTCTTCTTCTTCTTCTTCTTCTTCTTCTTCTTCTTCTTCTTCTTCTTCATCTTCTTCATCTTCTTCTTCTTCTTCTTCTTCTTCTTCTTCTTTTTCATCTTCTTCTTCTTCTTCTTCTTCTTCTTCTTCTTCTTCTTCTTCTTCTTCTTCTTCTTCATCTTCTTCTTCTTCATCTTCATCTTCTTCTTCTTCTTCTTCACCTTCTTCTTCTTCTTCATCTTCTTCTTCATCTTCTTCTTCATCTTCTTCTCTTCTTCTTCTTCTTCTTCTTCTCCTTCTTCATTCTGAGCCCTTGGGGTTCATTGCTGCAGATATCACCTGTCTCCACTCATCTCTCTGGTTGACCTTCTTTTTCCTGTTGGTGACACCAAGTGTTTGCAAGTCTGACTGAATGTTATCTCTCCATATTTTTGGTCTGCCTTATGGTCTATGGCCATTCATCTCCCTCGTGTATACAGTTTTTACCTGTCATTTGAAATTCTCTCAATATGCCCAAGCTATTTCAGTCTGTTAGATCTCATGATGCCAGTGATCAATGGTGATTTAAACAGATTATGAATTTAATTTTGTTGTTGCTTCTCACTCTCCATTCCCCGCTGTTTGCATCTTTGATGGGTCCAAAGATTCGTCATAATACTGTTTTCGAAAATGTGTAATGAGGCTCCATCTCATTTAATTTGTGCTCCAAGTTTCCGAGCCATATAGAATGATTGGTCTTAGCAGTTTCAGATTGGTAAAATAGATGTATGTACATCTGGAACAGGATTAGAGTCCAGAAAGGGATGAACAATCAGAACCTTCTGCCAGAGTTTACAGTCAGTGAGCCAAGTTTCCGAGCCATATAGAATGATTGGTCTTAGCAGTTTCAGATTTGTAAAATAGATGTATGTACATCTGGAACAGGATTAGAGTCCAGAAAGGGATGAACAATCAGAACCTTCTGCCAGAGTTTACAGTCAGTGAGCCAAGTTTCTGAGCCATATAGAATGATTGGTCTTAGCAGTTTCAGATTTGTAAAATAGATGTATGTACATCTGCAACAGGATTAGAGTCCAGAAAGGGATGAACAATCAGAACCTTCTGCCAGAGTTTACAGTCAGTGAGCCAAGTTTCCGAGCCATATAGAATGATTGGTCTTAGCAGTTTCAGATTGGTAAAATAGATGTATGTACATCTGGAACAGGATTAGAGTCCAGAAAGGGATGAACAATCAGAACCTTCTGCCAGAGTTTACAGTCAGTGAGCCAAGTTTCCGAGCCATATAGAATGATTGGTCTTAGCAGTTTCAGATTTGTAAAATAGATGTATGTACATCTGGAACAGGATTAGAGTCCAGAAAGGGATGAACAATCAGAACCTTCTGCCAGAGTTTACAGTCAGTGAGCCAAGTTTCCGAGCCATATAGAATGATTGGTCTTAGCAGTTTTAGATTTGTAAAATAGATGTATGTACATCTGCAACAGGATTAGAGTCCAGAAAGGGATGAACAATCAGAACCTTCTGCCAGAGTTTACAGTCAGTGAGCCAGGTTTCCGAGCCATATAGAATGATTGGTCTTAGCAGTTTCAGATTTGTAAAATAGATGTATGTACATCTGCAACAGGATTAGAGTCCAGAAAGGGATGAACAATCAGAACCTTCTGCCAGAGTTTACAGTCAGTGAGTGCAAAGAAGAAGATGCAGTAAAGCTGAAAAGACTTCAGTATAGTATCTTTTGTACCTTGAGACTGGTACATCCATCTACAGTGTAGTATCTTTTGTACCTTGGGACTGGTACATCTGTCTACAGTGTAGTATCTTTTGTACCTTGGGACTGGTACATCCGTCTTCAGTATAGTATCTTTTGTACCTTGGGACTGGTACATCCGTCTTCAGTGTAGTATCTTTTGTACCTTGGGACTGGTACATCTGTCTTCAGTGTAGTATCCTTTGTACCTAGGGACTGGCACGTTTTATATCAGCATAACATTTTTTGTACCTTGTCATCTTTGGCTTAGCCATTGCGAGCCCGCTTTGTAATGCCGGGATGCCGGGTTCGATCCCAGCTGTGGACGGTTTGTCTTGCATTGGTTTCGACAGTGGTACCGAGAGCTGACCGTTCAGTGGCAATGTAAATATTTACCTAGAAAAACAGCCAAAAAATAATTCTGAAATTGATTCTGCAACGTCCTGTAAAAGATACCCAACTAACCTTGGGACTGGCACGTCAGAAATCAGCATAACATCTTTTGTACCTTGGCACTGGTACTTCTGATATAAGTGTAGAATCTTTTGTACCTCGGAAGTTGTACATCCGACTTGAGTATAGCATCTTTTGTACCTTGGGACTGGAAAATCTTACTTCAGCATAGCTTTTAATTTTTGTGTGTGACTGAACTTTACAAATCAACACAGCCTATATTGTGCCTTACGACTGATACATCAGACTTAGGTTTAGCATCTTTTGCACCTTTCATTTGATGCATGACCTCAAAATAGCGCTAGACTTTAACAACTCAGACTAAAGCATTGCGCCTAGTTTATATTTTATCCAACACATCAGACTTTAGCATGGCGTCTAGTTTATCTTTTGATCAACACATCAGACTTTAGCATGGCGCCTAGTTTATCTTTTGATCAACACATCAGAATTTAGCATGGCATCTAGATTATCTTTTATCCAACACATCAGACTTCAGCATGGCGCCTAGTTTGTCTTTTGACCAACATATCAGACTTTAGCATGGCGCCTAGTTTATTTTTTGATCAACACATCAGACTTTAGCATGGCGCCTAGTTTGTCTTTTGATCAACATATTAGACTTTAGCATGGTGTCTAGTTCAGCTTTTGAACAACACATTAGACTTTAGCATGGTGTCTAGTTCAGCTTTTGAACAACACATTAGACTTTAGCATGGCGCCTAGTTTGTCTTTTGACCAACATATCAGACTTTAGCATGGCGCCTAGTTTATTTTTTGATCAACACATCAGACTTTAGCATGGCGCCTAGTTTGTCTTTTGATCAACATATTAGACTTTAGCATGGTGTCTAGTTCAGCTTTTGAACAACACATTAGACTTTAGCATGGTGTCTAGTTCATCCTTTGAACAACACATTAGAATCTACTCAGATGTTTATAAACTAGTCAGCACTCGATTAGTGATATGGTCACAACCATGCTGGCCGCTTGGACATACTTTCTGGGACATCACCTGGTGCCCATTTTAGGGCTGATATGTTATATTATCACAATTGACTTCACTGCATATTGGGCATTCCCATGCGTGCTGTCCTCCGATGCGGCAGCCACTCCAAGGTACTTCTACAAATTGTTCTCATGAGACGTTGGTGATTGTGTCTCCTATCTCAGCCTCGATGGAGGCATAGACATGCTTCACCATGCGTTGATCTCATGTCACGCAATTGTGTTGGTGTCAGAGATTCGTCATCCACTAGCTGATATCTGCTTTGTCCATGCTTCTTCCCAGTGATGGTGTCTTCCAGGTGTGAATGCTAATCTATCAGTGCCTTTAACTCTGTGTCAACTGTTGCAGGAATCTGATCCTTGCAGTACCTTTTCGGTGTGATAACAACCTTAGAGATGCCGTGCAGTCCACTGGTGTATTCATCGATTCTTGTCCAGGACTGATCTCATACCTGCTGGATTAATCTTCAGCCTTGGTCGTCCAGGCTGGATCGGTTTTGGAAACGGTACATTTTGAAAAACTGCTGAAATGCAGGTTTGAGCCACATACCTTTGGATTAGGAGCAAAAATCAATGTACCCCTATATACTTAGCAGCTTCTTCGGTTCTGATATTTGAAAATTTAGCATTGCTCTGTTGTATTAATTGTTTTTGCTTGTTAAATTCTTTTACTTGTTACATTTCAAATTGTACATTGTTTAGTTAAACTGTCTTTGGTGTTCCATTTCTTTGTGCATGTTCAATTTGTTTAAAAGTCATATCTATCCACAACCTTCTGTCTCGTGTACTTTCAATCAACTCTGACACAGATGATCCTCCATGCCATGTTGTCAGACTGTCCAGCATCTTTTCTCTCGGTCTCCCTCTTCCTCTCCTTCCCTCCAGCTTTACTATTGTAACGATGTACTTCAATTTTCTCCTTCTCATCACATAATCAAAGAATGTAGATTGTCTCTTTCTGATATGGGCAATCAGTTCTCTTCACGAGTCAGCTTCTTTCAAGACAACCTCATTACTCTTTTTAATCTGTCCAGGGTATTCTCATCATTTGTCTATCCGTATATCAAGATAGAATACTTTCCGGTGGCTAGAGAACGATTCTCAGAATATCTTGGACAAAGAAGAGGAGAAATACTGACATCTTGAAAGATCTGAACATCAAGGAAGATTGGCTAATAAACAGCATCCTGTCTCAGAAGCTGAAACATTTTGGTCATATCAAGTGCCACGACGGACTGGAAACAATTATAGCAGAAGGTATGGTACCAGGAAGGAGGGGCAGGGGCCGACCGACATGAAGATGGGCACAGGATATAAGTGACTCCTTGAGTATGAAAGTACATGAGGCAGGAGAATTGGAGAGACAGACTGTGATGAGAG